AGACAAGATCCACCAACTTAAATCCAAGTTAATCCAATTTGAGCTTAGATGTGTATGATGGTGTTAAGACAATTTTGGGAACTGAAACTAAAAATGCTTGCTCAATTTTGTCCAGTGAAATTGCATGAGCAAAATGAGTTAATACAATTTCTTGGCTAAATCAACAAGGATAAGTTTCGCCATTTCCCCCAAGAAATAAGGGTGCTCGGGCTGGTAGAATTAAGGCAAGGTATAACTACTGTGATTGGTTTATTTCTTCCAAACTTCAATCATAATTACACGCATAAAAAGAAAAATTACACGCATCCTTGTGGTCTACAAGAGCAAAATTAACAAGTACAAAAATCTACTATATCTTGAATATATATTTTGTCGTTGGTTAGATAAGTTTGTAGTATAATTTTTAGAATATTTTATAAGAAAATAATGTGGTATAGCACTATGTTATTATGTATGTACAAGAATACGTCACGTTACACACTCTGAATCAGTGATGATTGTCAGGGATTTTAATGTAGGTACTTATGAGAATTATAATGTTTAGACTATCATATACATGAAGAGATAACTTATTGAAAAGGGAAAAAAGTGGAAATCAAATTCGTTAATATACTTTTTGAAAAAGAATTAAAGGTTAATTATCTAATCCAACATCCCTCATCCAATATGATCGTTTATTAACTAGCTTGATGGTTGCTAGCCATTTAATCGATGAAAACCCTAATTGAAAAAGGTTAAAAGCACCACATATTGAGGATTAAATTTAGTGTACCATATCCAATCGTGCAATCCTTTGGCCTAAACAAAGTTTGCACGAGGTATGTATACCTAAACAAGACTCGTACCCCATTAATTTTTTTTCCCCGAGAAAATGTGAGATTTAAGAAATAGAGACGAGACAAGGAAATTTGAATCTAAAATCTCAAATTCTTGGGATTTCTGCCACTAAATCAAGGCCTCATCAACTCAAACAAAATTATTAGGTTACTTTGGTAATGTGTTTCTAGATCTGGCAGAGGTTAATTACTTTAATTCTATCAGGGTCAAAAAATATGTCGGCCTACTTCATCTTCATGTGGTTCGAGAATTTAAATACGCAGCAGTTGCCATGTGGCTCCACATAATTGCTTTCCGTTAAAGAATAAAGAGTTCAAAGACAATTCTTTTAAAAGGCAATTGTCAGTTTCCACTACAATTCTTAAAAGACAATTCCTATTTATGAGTATATTAGATAGTGTAGTTTCAAACTTGAGCCTCATTTGTCAAGTGAGTTTTTTAGATGTTTATCTAAAATTTTACTGTATTTTACTGTAAAAGTTTTTTAAAAAATTTTTGAAGTATATTTTTTTTGAATATTTTGAAATATATAGTTTAAAAACTTTGAGAAATTTTTTGAAGTTACTAAAGTTAAAGTTTTTAAAAAACTTGTAGCAAATAAATTTGATAAAAAACTTATCTGCCAAACAAGGCGTTGATTCCGTGGTTGTCCATTAAACAGTTCACCAATGGGTCGATTTGGACATAAAGATATTGCTACTAAGTAGAGAGGAGAGAAAGAACATTTAATTATGACCTTTTTGACTAGCTTCGTGAATAAAGTAGATGAGACTAATTAGACTATGACGTCAAATTTGTCAAAGTCGGCAAAACTTGATACATGCGTACACACACACATATTCATTTACGAAGTCACCATGGAAACGGTGGAATCCACTATTTCTTTATCTGTCTATTTACTTTGATTTTTTACACTTATAGCAGATAATACAATTTCTTAACTTTTTTCCCCTTAATTTCACCTAAACAAAAATGTTGTATTTTCTGGTACATCATTATGGATTTGCTTAGTCTTGCGTACTTCTTGAACGATGAAAAAGTAGTTAATAATTAATGAAATAATTTTAAATAATTGGAATCGCCCTTAGGAGAACATTTTTTATTCGACACTATATAAAAATGACCTGGGTGTATGTTAATTTTATTAATTTAATATTGGGTGGACATATTATATATCAAGATTGGAAAGTGTGGATATGGCTGGATGGTAAAATTTCTCTTTGACAAGGAGAGGACACGGGTTCGATTCTTGTTTTCCGTCCAAAATAAATTAATATGATAAAGAATTTGTTATAAATTGCACATATTTCCTCTTAGTTTTTTGAAATTGCGACTTCTTTGTCAATTTTTTTTCAGACTAATTAATATTATAACACTCTAATCTCCCGAACTGATTGTAGGAACCAACTAAAACTAGTTTACAGGATTTTGAGTATCTATTAGTTGTTCTTATACAGATTTCTATTGGTTTCTATGTTATTAAAGTAGACACCAAATAAACATATTGTTTAGACTAACTCAAAAATTGGACTTTCATTCTATTGTGAACCAAATGGAAGAAATTTTGGTGAACAGAGTCACAGACTGGTTCGCACAATAATAATGGTTAAATGTGCTAAATCCAGCTTAACTTTACTCTTAGTTGTATTTTACCTTCCTAAATTGTGTTAATATGCACTTAATCCCCTTTTTGATTTGTTTGGAGAAAACTTTTCTTGCTATGTTATGTTTCTTTTATCCTTCATTCTTTCATCCCCCAACTATTTTTTTTTTCTTTTCTATGTCTTTCTTTTTCTTTTTTTCCCCCTTCTCTCATGCCATATTTCCTTATCTTTCCAGTTAGTATTGCCAATTTTATGCTTATAGTAATATTTTAATTTTCTTCTACTTCTAATTTTACTGTTCTTATTTAATTTATTTATTTTCACTATTATAATTCATAGCATACTATATGGTATGAGCAAATGCTATCTACTTGTCACAATGAAAAGCATATCTTGCAACTTAAATATTTAAGTAGATATAATCAAACCAGAAGCTTGTGATTACTTAATTTAAAAACAATAACAATTAAACAAAACAAGTATTCTTGTTTATTTTTACTGTTTACCAATCGTAGTTGATAAACATTATTTTTATTATGATTTAATTAACTATTACTTTTACTATTAATAAATGATAAATTCTAAGCTTTAATTTATTTGTATGTATTTGAATAATAAAATACTATGTTAAATGTGCTTTGCATATATCTAATATATATATATATATTCTTATAACATAGGGTTTGTGATTATTATTATTAATGGAAATAAATAAATGAAAAATATAAAATATAAAAGAATAAGTTTGAGTAGATTGAACTTTTTAATCTAAATGTCCAAATAATAATACCAAAGGAAAGGAAGTAGGTAATCATGTGAGAGAGGATGAAAAGGAACGATTAGAAAATGAATGGGAAAAGAAAAAACAAAGAAAGAACCTAGAATAAATTATAGATCGAGAAATAATTAATAGAGAAAAGGCACTTTTATCCTAAAATCAAGAAAGGGTAAAGTGCCTTAAGAAAAAGTTGAAGAGGATAAATGCAATTAGAGATAAAATTAGAAAATGTTATTTGCACTGCAATTTTTATTGTTAACACTCCCACTATCATTTTAATCATATAGTTTTCATTTATTAGACTATATGATAAAACAAATGATAAAAGTGTAAATAACAAAAAAATGGAGTGCACATAATATTTCTCTTAAAATTAAGAGGATCTAGTGATACAACAACAATAATAATAATAATAATAATAATAAAATTGCGAGATCCTTCATTGATTTTCACGCTCATCTCTAGTTCTTGCATTTTGTACTTTGCCTGTAAGAGGGTGTAGAAACACTAGAAAAACTCTTTTGAATTACGAAGATATATTATCTTTTACTAAACTAAATAATTTAACTACTTTGAAAAGTTCTCATGCACAGAGTTTTATTTATGGATTAATCATCTATACACTGATAATATATACACTTTCACCATTTGATGTATGACATATAACCCGAATTTGAATTAAAAACTCAAATTTTGCATATGTGTCATGCATCCAACTTTGATAGTGTATATAAGATTTACTCTTAATTTATTGCCTATAAATGAAGGAGAAAAGTTAAAGTTGGCGGGGAAGGAGATTTTAAACGATTATCTAAATGAATGATGACCTTGATAAATGTAAAATAAGCTCGGTAAAGGCATAAGGGCCAACTATTGTGTTATTCTTCAAATATGTGCCAAAATAAAGTGACTTATGACATATTTATGAGTTTAGAGGCTATGTCAGTGTATTTAATTGCAACAATAAAACTAAGATTTTTCGACTTTATAAAAAAAAAGTAAAATTTTTCCACAATTGCAAAAATTAAAGAAGGTCAAAATAATCAATATTTTATTTTATATTTCTTATTCATTTTTGTTGACTCAATCACAAAAAAAACCTTAAAAAGTAAAAGATGCACGACCTTTCTAACCTTCCTTTGAATTACTTACGCATACAAAAATGCAAATCTTACCATACACCAAAATTTTGCTTCATAAATATCTTGGAATTAGAACTCTTAACTTGAACATACATAGAAAAAGGTATTTTACAAAAATTTGATGAGTAAAAACTTTCCACTTGTCACAAAAAGTTAGCTTTGTTAGAAAATTTGATAAAAGATATGCAGTCTATAAAAACAGAAACTACTTTAAATAAACACAAAAAAAATAAAAGATTTGTTTGAATATGTTATTATTTGTTAAAAAATTATTTGATTGAATTACAAACACATTTCTAAACTACATTTTTTTATCTTTTATTTATCTTCTACCTCACATATATCGTATTATAAAAAAAATAATATTATAATATTCTTTTCAAAAAAATATTTTAAATAATCTCCTATACGGACACACTAAAGAGTTCTTTCAAGCAACAAAATCTGCCAACAACCCGGTTCAAAATCCATACCATCATTGCCAAGAGTATTAAATAATAAATATATACAATAAAATAATTAGAAAAAGACCCAAAAAAAAAAAAAGAAAAACACACTATTGAGATAGAGATACTCCTAGAATCCAACAATGCCACAAAAAGGCTGAGACTTCATTTTAGATTCCTGAAATCTTCAATAGCCGACCCCATCTGGCATATGGCCATATCTTTCCCACATTACGTTCTGCCAAAATACGACCTTTCCCTTGCATTTACCACCTCTTTTCTTCGAATTTTCAAATCCTCAGAACAGTACAGGTTACAGACAAATTAATCCTACTGACTATTCACCTCCACTCCAAAACAAGAAGAAAACGAGTAGTATCCCGGAGACTGGGGAAGGAGAGAGACCCACAAAGAATCACACACACAACACACACTGAGAAAGAAGGGGGGGAAAAAAGGTACTCCCTAGAGAGTTTTAGAGACAGCCCACGGTTCATTTGCCCAAAAAATAATCAATCAGTCATCATGCCAAAAGGTTCCAAGAAGAGAAAGGCTGAAAAGAAAAAGAAGGAGCAAGAGGCATTGTCCCATAATCAGAGTCACAACCATCAGACACAGCCACAATCTGCTGTTTCTCATACTCATGGTAAACTCGCACACACTCCTTTTCTTGTGGGGTATTTTGGTTTTTAATGCCTTTTCAATCTTTCTAGATAGAACCCATCTGGCCCTTTTGATTATTATCTTTTTCTGTTTGACCCTTACAGTTTGTGTGTCTCCCAATTTGGCCTTGTGGGTATGGCTTAATTCTCTTGTTTGTTCTGATTACAGCAACTTTTGTTTTCAAGATTTTGTGGGTTTGGCTCAATTATTGTGTTTTTGTTGGAAAGTTCTTGACTTCTTCACTTGTTTATATGTTTTTGATGGCGATGTAGTTCAATCAATGCAGGGTGGTTTGTTACTGTGATTGTCAGGCTTCTTGTACATGTTACTTCATGATTAAGATTTGTGGTTTGTTGAATGTTGGTTGCTGTTTTCTGTTCTGTACTGGATATTTGTTGATTTCTTGTTGAATGAATCAATCTATGGCAGAAAATGATGATAAAGAAAGTGAGGGTGAGGAGGTTAGTTCTCCAGCCTCACAAGACCATTCCAATCATCAGCATCAGTTCATTGATGGCGAGAAGGAAGATGTGAAGAAGGTAGAAGATAGTTCACATGTTCAATTATCTGGTGAGAAGAGCAAATCCATTGAAGAACACAAAGATAATGGTGTAGCAGTGGAAGAGCCAAAAGCTGAAGAAAGTGTTGTTCAGATTGAGAAGGAACCGAAGCCTGCAGGTGAATTGAATGGCAATAGCATAAGTGAGGAGCGCGTTAAGATTCAGAAGGAATCAGGTAATGGAGTTGCATCTGAGAGTCTGGATGGGGAGAGTACTTTAGAGGTTGAAAAGGAATTGAAACTTTTTGAAAAAGTAAATGCATCGGTTGAGCATGTTGAACCGCAGAAGGAACACAATGATGGAGTGTTGACTGAGCGTCGTAATGATGAATGTCGCTTCATTGACAAGACAAATGTTGTGGTGGATAGTTCTCCATTTGGTAGTTCAGCAGAAGCAGTTAATTCCTTCTGTGAAGGTCTGGCTGAAGTACCTAATCCCATTCCAGTTGGGGAAGTTTATGGTTCAGTAGCAGAACCTGACTCTGATACTGTTCCAGAGGAGAAGATTAGCAGAGATAGTAGTAGTCCAGGTCATAGTTTGTTGACTTCTAATGTAGTCACAGAAATGCATGAAAATGGGAAGAAAGATGTGGCTGTGATGGATCAGAATGATAGGAGTTTGCCAGTCCTTGTGGACTTGGGATTAGAGAATAAGAGGGATGAAGCAATTATTCTAGCAGGTAATGCTTTGAGAGCTTTAGAGGCAAGGGGCACAGTTACTCAAGAAACTGAAGAAAAGCAGATGCATTTGTACACTGCTCCTGAAGATGAAGCTGCAAATTATGGTCATGCTAGTAATGGTGAACACCATATTAAGGATTCAGAAGTTCATGGGCACTCTGATACACAGGTTTGAGTTTTCTTATTTTCCTGCTCGGCATATATTGAATATGTCATGCTTTTAACTGATACATAACAACTTTTGTATTTGCTTTTTGTGTTGATGAAATATGTAGCCGCTGGTTGCTTCTGCTATACGACCTGTGCAAAGAACTTCATGGATGAGTTGCTGTGGTCTGTTTGAGGCATTCGCTGGATCAAGTAGATAATGCCCGTAAGATTAAGTCTTGAACTCTAGATATTATTTTTCTTTTCTTGAATGCTTTAGGGTATACCCTTACTGTTAATAGATCTTCTTTCCATTTTGACTGTACATAAAACTGACAGTATTCTTTGCTTAAAATCAACTTGCTTGTAGATTCAAATGATTGCTCTGTTCTGGATATAATGCAGAAGGTTGCTTTATGACCTTGTGGATGGCTTTAGAAGTTGATATTGTTGCTTTTATTCGCAAAGTGTAATTCAAGATTTACTATTAAGACAGTTTTTGTTCATCTAAACCATTTGTTGGTTGAAGAATAGAGCAATGATAGATTGATGAGGACAAAGTTAAACATAAAAATTAGGGTCATGGATGCTTAATTTTACTCGAAAAATTCAACTTCCCCTTCTTAAAAGAAAAAAATCTTTTAGAGGTGCTAATGGAATAACATTAAAGGACCAGGAAGTGCTTTTGATTGTGATGTGCAAGAAAGTAATCATCAAAACAACTACGTGTTCTCAAATTAAAAAAAAAAAAAAAGAGGGGGGGCAAATTGAATGTATTTCTCCATTGCATTTTCTCTGTCATCTGATTTTCTCAATTACTTTGATGAACCTTTACCTTTTAACTTACCTTCCTAGGTTTTGGTTGGGATGTCAGAATTTGAAGCATACATTCCATTTTAAGTAATTGTGCCCATGAAGCTCTACATTCTTACAACTAGAACAACTTTTGTAGTTTTTTGCGCATTAGATGATTCGTCTTTTAACTTCTGGCAAAATTTTTCTGGTTTTGTTTCGCGAAGTCATTAAGGTTTCTTCAAAAGTAGACCAAAGTTAATGCAAACTGAAAAGTAATGGAACAGTAATGGAACGATAACGCATTTCAGAAAGAATTTTGAACATTTAACTATCACACTATATCCCAGTTTTTAGTTTTTAGGTGTTCAGAAATTTAAAAATTGTAGCCAACTCCTCAACTACGTGGTCTTTAAATAAGTTATATATTTTATGCGTTATCATAAAAGTTCAGGATTTCCTAGATAACTACAGTGACTGTGAGTTAGTTATGAGTTTAATCAGGTTGATTAGATTATGGATTAACTGCAGGAAAATAAAATGGAAGTTAACCTTACCTAGAATAGATAAAAGAAAAACAAAAATCTAGGTATACAAACTATATAAATTGCTTCTTTGTCATATCCTTTTTTTTCAAGCATAGAGAAACCTCATAACTTAGAGAAGGTGGGATCCCTTGAAGTTGAATTTGTACCCAACCCCAGGTGTACTGTAGGATGTACAATTTTAAAACAGAAATAAATATTCTTTTCAACTGCAAGTGAAAACGTGGAAAGAAAATCATTACACATTCCTAGCACTTTGGAATTTTGAAGCTGAAAATGTAATTTCTACAAGATAGAAGACATATAATGGGTTTTAGTGTTAAGTTTCTGAAGTAAATAGGACATCCATTTTACGGCATATGAAAATTTGGTTCATTTTTTATATTCTTTCATATTGCCTTATCTTAGCGAGCAAAATTCACTTCTTAAATATGCAAAAAATGAGTCTTGAGGTGAAAATCATCTTTAAGACTGGGGATGGGAATAAGGCAGGTATTGGTGCAACTTTGGGAGGATTATGGTCCCGGTAGATCCCACTAGCATTAAGCTGTTTAATTTGTCATAATTTCTGGTTCTATCGTGGGGCAAAAGTATATAGAACCAATTTTCATTTTCAAATTTCTCTAAGTTGTTTGTATTGAAGAGAACTGCAAAGAAAATTTCGATTGGTATACTGAAGCTCCTGAATTCATATCTTATAAATCAAAATGCTAATCTGAGATTTCAGATGTGGTCTGGGTAAGGGATAATGCCTATACTTTTGATTACTTTTGGCTATCTATTATTGTGCCATAAAGCCATTCAAGAAGAGGAACTAATTAAATACCAAAGGAATCAATGGTAGGACTAACTGAGGTTTCTAGACTGGCACAGGCCAACTAATGAGCAGTTTGAAGTATGACTTTCAGCGGATGTGGAGTAGTATCGGATTGCTGGCTGATAATTTTACCTTTTTATTGAGTGTAACCGCTTATCCTGATATGTGCTTAGATGGGGCCATGCCTGCGAGAATTAGCACATCGTTACTTATGATAAGAAACATATTCTTTCCAGAGTTGGTTTCGTAGAAATTGGCTTCCGAACATTCCCAAAGGCCATTCATGTGCAAACTGATCAGCAGGCAATAAGTCCTAGATTTATTCCTCCCTTGTCAGTTATCTCTATTTTGCTTTCAAGAGCTTTGTTCCATTTTGTTGTCACTGTTTGGTGAAATCAAATCTTATGGAGCTTGACTTTTATGTTGCTGTTGTGATGCCTGTATTAGGTGTCCATAGACATTAGACAACAGTTATATGCATTTATGCTCTTAACCTGCCATGCAGGTTCATCATGCTGTGTCTTAGGCACTGAACACTTCTATCTTAGTGGTAAGTTTGGGGTTAAAGGTTGTTGCATGGTGCCTTAGATGTGCTTTTACGTATTTTCTTAGCCTAGGAGCTGAAATAGGTCATTACTCTGTACTTGGGAAATTTATGTGCTGGACCTTAATCTACTGGTTAGTCATTCAACCATAAGCAATTTGCTGAGATCTTTTACCAAGTATAGGTTGCTAGTTTTCGTTATCCTCGGTAACAAATTTATTCCAACAGCAAAATCTGATTGTCCATGTGAAATATGTTTATACAGTAGTTGAAATAATTTGGTTTGCTAATTCCCACATTCGATGGAACTATGGCGACGCCAAGTTAATATTCTGTCGATTATTCTCTGTCTATTATGAATACTTTACTGCATTTCCCTCGTACTCCTACATGTCTTGCTCTAGTGATTAAATGTAATTGCTTCCTTAAATACCTGCTGCAGTTACTTGCATAAATATTTTTTATTCTAACTGGACTAGTACCTCGTGGTTTTTATATTCAGTCAATTCTGAAGGTTTGGTAATACCTTCTTTTTTGAATGTAGTGGAAACTTGTTGCTGAATGCAAAAAATAATGGATCATTTCAACTTTTTGTAACATGCATGTGCATTGGTAGTTTAATGTGTTTAAGATATTTGTGATGGTCGTGGTAGTTATCAGGCAGCTCGCTCAATGCGCAACCTGCATCAGTAATAAAAAATCATTGTATGACATTCTACCCCTTTAACTGGTGTTTTCAGTTTGCAGTCTTTTGAAATTTTTTTTTTCTAGAGATGGATACTGTTTTTCTTGGACTCAGTTATCTTCCTTGTATCATGTTTATGCTCAACACACATCAATAGTAACTTTTCTTGCTGACATTTATGTCTGTGGAAGGATATTAATGTGTTTAGCCTTCTGTTTGTGTAAAGGATGAACAGGATATGTATTTGATCTTTTGTGTTTATCCTTGATGGGATTAAGTTATCAAGTAAACACTCTACTCTACAACTAAGCGTGAGGATGCTTGCACTATAATGAGTCACTTGCTGATCTTGTAAAGGAACTCGGTTTATTTTTTGTGTGCAAAGATGAAGCAAATACTTCGGTGGGAAGTATTAATTCACCATATTTACCATCCACCCTCCTGTTTTGTTTTTCTCTTTTAATGGATTGCACATCAGTAGAACTTTTGTACAGAGCAAGTTGATATGGTTTTGGTTTTTATATGCTCATCTATTGTTGAGAATAGTCACTTTAATACCATATCATGGAAAAGAAAACTGAGAAATCTATTCAACTTTATTGCATTTGTAGCATGTGCCCAAATAACTACTTTGGAGGTAGATGAGGTTTAGTGGTGCGTGAAGACAGTTAAAAGTTATTGCTAAAATATGGGATAAAATCATGTTGTGATCTATAGCTTTGGGTCAACAGTCAATAGGAGTTAGATGCTTTGAGTGCATATAGGGATTTGTAAGAGAAAAATTTCACCCGTCAAATGAACTTTTTCCCCCAATTCTTTGTAGGTTTAAGTAGATAGCATTTGACTTGATTATATGCATATAAAGTGGGGGATGTGAACTGCTCTTGAAGAAAAACTTCTTCCTTAGCCTAGCAAGTCTCAGCCTTTCTATTTCATGAAATGCCATTTCAGTATCTTCAGTTAAAGAATTATTCTTTTCAAATTTTGCACCTCAAAGCCTAACAAATCCTTTTCACTTGTAAGCATGTCTTGGATGTTCTTGAAAACCAGTTGCTTCCTAGATCTGTCTGCTCATAATCTGGTTTCAAGCTGGATAAGCAAGCTAGTTTTTTCCATCTGAGCATGTATTCTTCCAATCCATTACTCTTTTTTTCTTTTTTTTTTTGGGGGGGGGGGGTGTCCTGGGTATCTGACACTTGAAGTTAATTTGCTTTCCAAGATTGGGAAGAAAACTCTCTGTCTGTAGGGACTCAAATTTCAAAACCAGGTTGTGCGGTATATTGCAATCAGTTATCTTATTTCATGTGGGCCTTACTGGATTGAATTGCAAGAAGCAAGTTTTACTGCATGAATGTCATCTTTAATAATAAATCACATCTATTCTCCTGGGAGTCTGAGAGAGGTTTTAGACATCATCTTCCATTGGATTGTCATAGGATTTAATACACCAGAGAGTGGTCGGCTGCATGAAATCTTCACATCCCTGCCAAGGAACACCCTACACACATAAAAGGAAACAAAATACGAAGAGTAAGAAAGACAATGGCACAATTTTCCTAAAGCTTACCTTCGAAATAATTAAAGATAAAGGCATGTATGTTGGTGAGACTTGGCTCACCATAGCCGGTGTAGATTTTGTGAGTTCGTGATTGGCTGTATTTGCAATGAGTGCCAGACTTCAGTTTTGCATGCAAAACTGTCAAACTTGTTTCCTTTTCATATCTGGAGAAAAAGATTTAGAATCGTATAATTCTAATCCTATTTTGTTTGATTCAGGGAGCCAAGAATGGAGTAAAGCTGAAATGTGTGACAGAGCTTACCAAAATAAGCGAAAATCTCTCTGCAGAACTAACCTCAGGTTATGTTATATATATATGTTAAGTATCACTTGGGAACCCCTGAGACTTTCTTGGTTTAGTTTATGCTTGTATTTTTTTTTTTTGGGGTCAAAAAGATGCTTGTGCTAGTCTTCTATAGTGTCTCCTTCCATGTTTAGTGTGGTTTTGTTTTACCTGTGGAGGAAGATAATGAGAGATTTTTAGATGTACTAAAGGGAGATTTTTGCATTGCATAGCATAGCAGGGAAATGACAAATTTTGAAGATTTATGAATTTATATATATTATTAGTTATGATATTGTCAGTCAATACATTTTTGTTCGCCGGTAAACTAGCATTACTTGCTAATGGGTTCTTCTTCCGGATATTTTATCCTCTCTCTCTCTCTCTCTGTCTTTTTTTTTTTTTTTGGGTAAGCGAGAGGACGTGAATCCAAGAGCTCTTACTTATAACACCTCTCACCTTATCATCCAATCAAACCCTCCCCTCCCCCCCACCACAGATCACAGTACTTAGAAGATCTCTTGAAGTTTTGAAGCAGATCATGCTTATGAAAAGAGATAAATGAGACTTGAATAAAACAATGCTTGAAACCAACTACTACTAGAGTAGTCGGCCATCAGAGACAGAGAAAAAAAGGGGCAGCTCTTGAATGCCTCAATCAGTGTATTCTAGTGCTCAAACTTCTTTGTTCTGGGAAAAGTAGGATTGGAAAATTCTTTTTTGGCAGAAGCTGTTGAGGTGAAGTGGCTTGTGTGCTGTATTGGATTGCTTATTGTTTATACCACTCTTTCATGGGTTCTATAACAGGAAATTTAATCTTCATTTGACCTATACTAGATTTCAGGCTTTTGGATTTCAGAAAAATCAAGTATCGGAATTGGAGATTGAAGAGCACTGCGTTGTATGAATTTCCATTCAGCCTTTTGGATTCCTCACAATCTGATTGACTAGATTGGCTTTCGTCCAAGTGCTAAACAATATATTATTCCCCAGAGTTCTCTAACCATTCCCCCCCTTCGGCTTTTGAAGCAGGGGAAATGCTTATTCTGGCAGAAGTTGGAATCTTTCAAAAGGCTGCACTAGAAGAACAGCCTTCATTCTGACTTGAAATTCTTAGAACTTCTGTATGATAACAGTACATCTGCAAAACTAAATTTATTTTCTTAAGTTTTAATAAACCAAAATTCAATCCTTATTCATCAGGACAAATCAAAGATATTATGTGGTTTCAGCCGATAGGTCATCGATCGATCGAACGCAGTCAATCAAATGATTATAGTGAGTGTGTTGGATTGTAAGTTATTTGCCCAAATATATTTGCTTACATCACTATTACAATTTCCAATACACCTTTTTATCTTCCCAATTATCTTTTTATCTCATATATATCACATCACAAAAAGTGTTACAGTAAAAATATCTCAAATAACTTACAATCCAAACACACTCAGTGCTCTGCTTATATCATCCCAAAAAATGAATATGGGCAACATATTAAAATGGAAAGAAATGAAAATAATAGAGTTGTTGAACTGTATTAATTTCAAAATTAAAAGCATAATTCTTTCATTTTTTTTCTTCAGGCTGTAATATACCGAATGGAAGTACACAGCCTCCTTGGCTACTTCATCATAGATGGAACAAGAGGGGCTTTGAGTTTTTCCCAAAACAAATTCTTTGTAAAGCGAATGTTTGGATTGTTAGTTTCTGCAGAAAAATTTTACTTTTTTCGTAAATACATTTTTCAATCACTTTTTTATTTTACGTATATCAAATTGCTACAGTACATCTTTCTACAAAAACTCCTAAAAATAGCAATCCAGTACTGTCAAACAACTGTTTTAGCAAATATCCTAAAGTTTGCCTACTAAAACAAAATTTTCCAGTCCAAATACAAGCATTCATTTCTTTCTGACAATTCACAATCAGCCCTTAGAACTGGCTAGTACCCAGAGTTCCACTTAAATACAAACATATGGTTCAATTTGCAAAATGCACATATAGGTAAGCTCTGTCATTCTGTGTTGACTTTAAGAACCAAAAACATTCATATCTCGCAAATGTGCGAGATAGAAAATGAAGAAATGTGCGAGATATTTATGCTGCATTACTGTTAAGTTTCTGGTAGGGAAAGGCATACCACAACTACAAATGAAATCAACGATTAGTGTATTGCAAGTGCAACTGTACCATACAATTTATAGATCAGACTAGTTAACGCCGTTCACCATTTCTGTGGTTTAGCCAAATTACAAAATGCACCCTATGGTTCGGTCAAATTACAGTTAAGCCCTTTAAATGGCAAAACATTTATGAAATGCCCCCTAACATGAATTGCCATTTGAAAATATTGTTTGCCTCAACATAATAGCCCCCAAAATATCCTTTTGTGAATTGAGTTGATTACATTTACCTCCCATGAGTTTTTGTCTAAATTACATTTGCCTCCCCTAAGTTTTGTTCAAATTATATTTACTTGTCCCAAAATTTGTCCAAATGACAAGATGAACCCTATAGTTTGTGCAAAACAGTCCATATTTTAAAAAACCAAACGTTTATTAAATAAGCAATTTCCACCAGTCAATTGCATCAATTACAACAAAAAATTTTAATAAAATTTTGAAAATACCCGTTAGTTATTGATCAATTTTTATGCCTATTCTTTTTATGATAAAACTAAAAATAGCATTTTGGTTACCAATGCAGTTTATTTGACCACCTATTATTATTTGATATTACGAACCCTTTTCCATGTTAATGTACAAAAAAATAAATTTCCATTTTTCAAAACATAAAATAAACTATTGATTTGAAATCTATCTCTGCATATTGAGTTTTAATTTCTGTTGATAGAGATATTGACATAGAAACTTGAAGTACCAGACCAAATAAAAAGATTTATTTAGAATTGAGGAGAAGAGTTTAATATAGTATTGAGGAGAAAAATAGTATTGTTTTGATAAATTTTATTATTCCATATTAAATCATATTTGGAAATATAATAAATGATTGTTATACGGTAAAATGGATTGAGAAAGTGTCATAGCAAACTGGAAAATAAGTAGGCGTTAGCAAGAGAAAGGAATAGGTTTCTCAATTTTTTTTGTTTTGTTTTGTTTACCAATTTGTAGTAGTTAGTAATGATTGTTTTCTTTTAGTTTGTGTTTCAATTTTGGATCACATTAAGAGATTTTGACCAATATTTGGTTATTCAACTGGTCAAATTTTAGGGTTCTTGTAATTTGATCAGACCTCGAGAGAGATAAATGTAATATTTTGTGAAGGGCAGTTTTGTCATTTCACTACTTTAGTTTGTTTAACTTGAATGGAGTCACTCATAAGGGGACAAATGTAATTTGGTCAAAGCACAAGGTTCATTTTGTAATTTGGCCAAACCAACGGGGAGGCAAATGTAATTAACTCTATAAGTTATGCAAGGTGATAGAAATTCACTAACACTACCTTAAGCCTATCTACCTCATTTATTTTCTCCAATTCTTAAAATTTTGACACATATCCATGTGGAGAGCTCCTGTAACATGCAAAAATGAAACACGACTCTACTAATATGAAAAAGAAAATGGGAGTGGGTTTCCATGTAGATTTAGGATGTAGCTAAAATTTGTAATTTTTAAGTGAAAAATACATCTCCAATTATGTGATATGGAACGAGGAACCTTGAGTTTCGGAACCCATCATCCGTATTTGTTGAAGCACAAGGCTATTTCAAGTCATGTATTCAAAATGAGTGTGCAGCAGCGAGAGATAGGTCATAGGTGACTCGTTTATGATAGGTATGCAGTTGGGAGAGTAGCTCTTGATGAACGTATTGCTTTGGTCGTCCTTCCATGCTCTCATAGTTATCAGATCTATGAGAATAATAGCCAGATCAAACAAAAATAGCCATCTGATCCATGAGATTACATCTCCAGTTGATGTCATAATATATGAACCTGTTGAAAAAAAGCCCAGGATCAAGGAGGTGCAAGAAGTTATTTGTGAACTTGAGGTGAATGAGTAGGAATATATTTGTGAGCGCGAGATTGAGGAGGAAGAAACTGACAATATTTTTTACTCTTTGATGATAGATGGAGTTCTTGATTCTTCAATCTTGGAATCTGATGGGTTGGAAGAATTTCAGACTTTGGAAGTTGATGAAAATTTTCAAGATTTTTCACCAACATATCCAGCCCTAATAGATTTATTGTCGGATAATTCAATGGCTGTAGTTGTTTTTTCCGGGTCAAGAAAATACCACACTTGATGGAGGAATTATATCTGATGAATTTTTCGCAGCTAAAACACTTCCTATGAAGTCTAAGGAAGTTGAATTTTACATCATCCCCACATGCATAGTCAAAATTTGTTGTGACCATGGAAAATGGAGAAGAGTATTAGTCATTAGGTGAAGAGATTCGTATGCAAGCATAGGTCCTAGAAGATTTGTGGGGAGGGTCGTGGCTGCTTCTTCTCATGGTTTCTGCATCAAGCTTTCCATGAAATTTCAGGATGTTTTCTTTTTAAGTGGGGAAGTCTGATACGAAACATGAAAACCCGGGTTCAAAAACCCTTCATCTTTCAACAGAAGAAATCAGAATTAAATCACTAACCCTTAATTCAAGGTAAACCTCAAAAGCCGGCAACTCTTGAGGCCACCCAGGAAACTAATAATCTAATCCCAAACCCACCCAATGATCGATGTGAGATTTTTGGAAAGGCCAGTAAGGCCACTGCTACTAATTCTGTAACCCATCATCTGTATCTCTTAATTAAGGTAGATTTTTTTTAGTAGTGTTTTTATTACTTTACTCTAGTTAGTTTATTATTATTATTATTATTATTATTATTATTGGTTGTAACGAGTCAATAACGAATCGCCCGAAGAAATAGTGGATGAAAGGTTTCGACCTACATTCTGGATGCAATCCGGCCTTCAAATCCGTCAGCAAATTGTCAAACAGGATCCGAGGGCTTGCTGGCTCGGATTCGTCTGTGGATCCAACGGTTGGTGCACTTCACGATTTTCGTCATTTTTTCTATTTTCGTTGTATTTTCTTTCCTTTTCAATTTAGATTACTTGTAGCATATAAACAGGCATTCCTAGGTTTATTTTACAGCTTTTGACAATTTTATTGAAATTATAAACACTTGTTGTATGTTTGGGTTTATACCTAGGTTAGATTCTTGCTGTATCTAGACAAAAATCTTGTTGAATCTTTTTTTTTTTTTTTGGGCTCAATCATGAATCAACCTTTGGTTCATTTATTTGGATTAGTTCATGTAACTATTTTCATTTCTATGCTTCCACTAGTGCGTCACCATGGAAAAATCTAAAGTAGCTTGATAGATAGATAAACAATCTTAAGGGTAAAATTGTGTGGAGCAAAAAGGAAAGAGATAAATTGAGAGGGGAAGCCATGACACAGGGAAATCTTGAGGGTCTAGCAAGTAAAATAATCTTTCTTGTTTGTTTTGCCAATTAGGAAAGAGGAAATAAAAGTAATTATGAGAACCAACGAGAAAGTTGATAAACTTGTGTCTATACACACACATAGATATATTTATATGAATATATGTATGTATTTGTATACGGATATATGTGTGTGTATATATATATGTATATGTATATAATACATATATATATAGATACATATGTGTGTATATGCACACATATATACGTAGAATAATTATGTTTTACCAATTGGGAAACAGGAAATAAAAATAATTATGAGAGCCAATATGTCTATATATGCATACAGAGTAATAATTGTGAGTAGAGAAGTATATAAATCAATTCAAAACCAATGCTTGTACTGGATATGAATGACTAAAGAAAGTAAAACAGATTTAAATGGGAGACCCAGTTTGATTCATTTACTTTATTAACTTTTAGATGGATGATCCAAGTAATCTACCTATATCTATATACAAGAAAGGAAAAAAGGTTGATAATAATAATGAAGAAGAACAAGAAGACATAAAGCCCAACTGGCGCCCTGCCTTAGTTTTCCACAAATCTAAAAGGAAAAGTCTTTATTAAATGACATACGATTTAAGTGGCAAAAATAAACTAAAATATGGCTCACCTTCTTGATTTTATCTTAAAAATTTTTATATTTGTACTTATTGTTTAGAAATGCCGTGATTTTTAATTTGTTATTTTGGTTCAGTTCAAAAGCAGTGGACGGTCTGAAG